AATACCCGTTACCATGATTTAAAATACTGTAAAACTTATATTTAAAAGAATTGTGGGAAACTGGTCTTCACTTCCCTCAAATGATGTTACGAGACATATGGTTGACTCACGCGGTTTAAGAGGCAACCTATTTAAATTAAGTTTTTAAAAATATACTGTCGAGTTTCATGATCTTTGGGGTCATGGAAATACGTAACAGATAATAGATTTGAAACTTAATGCGTCTCAGAGAAGAAAATACAATAGGGAGTGAGTGAAAATAATATTACGCTTCTCATCTGCCTGGCGTGGGATGTACTGTAAAACAAGTGACAAAATAGCCTCAACTGTTTTTAGTCATTGATGGGAAGAAAACATTAGGATGGAAAAAACTTAGCGAAGCACATTTGTTTGTTTTTTAACATACTGGGCAATGTATAGATGCTTCTAACAGGTTCATCAGTGTAGAGAGAAGCTTGTAACAGGTTCAGTGTAGAGAGATGCTTGAAAAAGGTTCATCCGTGTAGAGAAGTGCTTGTAACAGGTTCATCCGTGTAGAGTGATGTTTATAACAGGTTCAGTGTAGAGATGCTTGTAACAGGTTCATCCGTGTAGAGAGGTGCTTGTAACAGGTTCATCAGTGTAGAGAGAAGCTTGTAACAGGTTCAGTGTAGAGATGCTTGTAAAAGGTTCATCCGTGTAGAGAGAGGCTTGTAACAGGTTCGTCAGTGTAGAGAGAGGCTTGTAACAGGTTCGTCAGTGTAGAGATGCTTGTAACAGGTTCGTCAGTGTAGAGAGAGGCTTGTAAAAGGTTCATCCGTGTAGAGAGAGGCTTGTAACAGGCTCATCAGTGTAGAGAGAGGCTTGTAAAAGGTTCATCCGTGTAGAGAGAGGCTTGTAACAGGTTCGTCAGTGTAGAGATGCTTGTAACAGGTTCGTCAGTGTAGAGAGAGGCTTGTAACAGGTTCATCAGTGTAGAGAGATGCTTGAATTTGTAAATTGTATGCCAAGGGACGACAGGTTGACGAGGAGTCAATTATATAGTACACTTGGACATTATGTGGCTTGGTGCATCGTCTTTGTGTATTGTTTTATGTGTACAATAATACATAATGCACATATTGTATAGTATGATGTGTTTAACGCATAAAATAGATGTATTGTTTGTTTTTTAGTATTACAGACCGATTTTCCAGTGTTGATGCAAGTCATGTGTATATAATATTGTGTTTGGAAAGGTTGGGTGTATTGTTACATGTACTGTAGTCCATAATAAATATTTAGTTGTCTTTGCCTTTTATACAACTGTATTGTTTCCTGTTATTATATAGCTCAGGTCTATTGTTCTCTTATAGTGTACAACGAGTTAGTTCTATTGCACGGTATTGGTTTGTTTATAGAGGTTGTATGCTGTTGAGTGCTTGAAGGGAAGCAATTAAGGGGTGATAGTGAGTGCTACAGAGTGCATATTATGTAGATTTCATATATAATTTGGGAGTGTGGAATTTTATATACCTTGTATGTGTTGGGGAGTGTGGACGAGTTTATGCCTTGTATGTGTTGGGGAGTGTGGACGAGTTTATACCTTGTATGTGTTGGGGAGTGTGGACGAGTTTATACCTTGTATGTGTTGGGGAGTGTGGACGAGTTTATACCTTGTATGTGTTGGGGAGTGTGGACGAGTTTGTGTGTGGGGAGTGTGGACGAGTTTATACCTTGTGTTAAGGAGTGTGGACGAGTGTATACCTTGTATGTGTTGGGGAGTGTGGACGAGTTATACCTTGTATGTGTTGAGGAGTGTGGACGAGTTTATACCTTGTATGTGTTGAGGAGTGTGGACGAGTGTATACCTTGTATGTGTTGGGAGTGTGGACGAGTTTATACCTTGTATGTGTTGGGAGTGTGGACGAGTTTATACCTTGGTGTGTTAAGGAGTGTGGACGAGTTTATACCCTGTATGTGTTGGGGAGTGTGGACGAGTTTATACCTTGTATGTGTTGAGGAGTGTGGACGAGTTTATACCTTGTATGTGTTGAGGAGTGTGGACGAGTTTATACCTTGTATGTGTTGGGGAGTGTGGACGAGTTTATACCTTGTATGTGTTGGGAGTGTGGACGAGTTTATACCTTGTATGTGTTGGGGAGTGTGGACGAGTTTATACCTTGTATGTGTTGGGGAGTGTGGACGAGTTTATACCTTGTATGTGTTGGGGAGTGTGGACGAGTTTATACCTTGTATGTGTTGGGGAGTGTGGACGAGTTTATACCTTGTGTGTGTTGAGGAGTGTGGACGAGTTTATACCTTGTATGTGTAGCTATACCGTGTATGTTTTGGGAAATTTGGGAGTGTGCTTTGTATTTGTTGGGAAATGTGTGAGAATGTATACCTTATATGTATCTTATGTATGTGGTAGTGTATGCATCTTAAATTATGATAGGGACTTAAATCCAATAATCCCGTTGAGAAGGTTTACTGAACTATATTTGTTCTATTACGCGTATCAACATTTGCATGTGTGTGTGTGTGTGTGTGTGTGTGTGTGTGTGTGTGTGTGTGTGTGTGTGTGTAAGGCCGAATCTTTAATTAATTTTAGCAAACTACAAACTCTTGACATGTTAGGTAGAGTATACAGTACGGGTTATCACATATCTTAGGGAATGTGAGAGGGAAGCAGTGCACGGTGTAATCGGACATGTCTGAATGAATGAATAACCAAAGACCATGTGGGTCAGATTGGTCATGCCACTTCCACCAGTGAGCGAGAGTCAGCGCAGGGTGATGTTGGCTCGACCTGGACACCGTGACCCGACCACTACCTCCATGGACGATGTGGCTCGGACAATACTCCTCACCTTGGACTTACTACTGGAGGAAGACGAGACAATAGGGGTGACAGGAATGCTGGTAGTAATGGACACGGGGGAGATAACTTTCCAACACGCGGCACAGATGACGCCAACAATTATGAAGAAGATGGCCACACTTATTCAGGTCCACACTCATGCTAGTCCACACCTGTGCTGGTCCACACTCATGCTGGCTCATAATCATGCTGGTCCACACTCATGATCATCTACACTCATGCTGATCCACTCATGCTGGCTCATAATCATGCTGATCCACACTCATGCTGGCTCAATCATGCTCATCCACACTCATGCTGATCCACACTCATGATCATCTACACTCATGCTGATCCACACTCATACTGGTCCACACTCGTGCTGATCCACACTCATGCTGGTCCACACTCACGCTGGTCCACACTCACGCTGGTCCACACTCACGCTGGTCCACACTCATGCAGGTAATTATTGTGCAGACTGATAAACGCACAGTATATTTAGTAATAATACATTTCCAGTATTATCTAACTGTGTTGAAATATACAGAAATACCCACACGGTACAAAATGTATAGATACTGTACAAAGATTACATGGTGCTGACCCTTCTCCTGGGTAGGGGGTGTCCCGCTGTCCCCTGGTTCTATACTGGCGCTCTTGCCTCCACTACCTTCCCCTTGTATATAACCCGTGTAAATCCGTCCCCGTTCCTCATCGAATCTTCCCTCTTCTGCTTCAAGCTGTTTTATTTTTTATAAGCCTGTAATGTGTTGTGTTTCATGGATCGGTGGAGTTGAGGAATTTTTTTCACCACACTTTAACAGACCTTTTGTTGTTCCGAAATTTCTGTGGTCTGGCTCTGGTGAGGTTCCAAGAGTGCCGCATTAGAGGGGTTGAACATGTTCACGAGGTTGTTTCTACTACAGTACTTAAGACTCCTACACATCTATAAATCAAGCAGTAGGCTGAAAGCTTCAGCATCAAATTCTTGATTAGCTTAAATGCTGCAAAAATAAGCTCTAGAAAAACTGAACTCATTCCCTTTTAATATTAAAGTTAAGGTCATTGTGGTTGGAATTTACAGAATTGTTAAAAAGCATTCATTAGTCTTTGGGTTTCGTGCCCATTTTGGATTTACGAAAATACAGTACTGTACAATATTATGAATATACGTACTTAAAAACCTTCTTTTATCAGAATTACATCATCAATCAGTTCATAGAATAGGACAAAGTACTGTATATAATCAGAATAGTTAGGGAATTAATTCTTCCTCAAGAAAAGTTAAATGGTGAAAGGTTTGAGCTGCTGCCCTGGATGTAAAAAAAAAAAATATATATATATATATATATATATATATATATATATATATATATATATATATATATATATATATATATATATATATATATATATATATATATATATATATATATATATATATACAGGTGCTCCCCGATTTACGACGGGGTTAGGAACCCAAATCCAGGTCGTAAGTCCAAATGGTCGTAAGTCCGACATTGATAAAAAAAATCAATTTTTTTTTATAAAAAATCTACAATGAATACAGTACAGTGAAAGTAATAAATAATGAGGAATGGATACAGTGTAACTGAGCACTTACCTTTAATGTAGTCAGCTGAATGCACATGGGGCCCCAATAATTTTCTAATTATACATGGAGACTACATTAACTGCAAACGTTTCTGTATAGAAAATGCGTGTGTCATTTGAAAAAAAAATTGGAATATATAATATATAATACTTTCAGTGTAACAAACTCTCCCTTTGATCAATTGCGAGTAAATCACATATTACCCGGTAATTATGCAGTATACACAATCTTGTACCGTACTGTAATGCTGGTACTGAGAAGTGTTTACGATAATGGCAAATTCACATTACTGGTGACAATAAAAATAACAAAAGTAAGGCAGAATGTTGATGAGAAGTAAAAGTTGACTGATGGGTAGGTTACATTCACCACTAGTGAGCAGTCATATAACTTTGTCACAAACCCAGAACTTTAGCACATTCTTTGTTAATCCCTAACTTATTATATGTACAATATCGTTTACATTTGATTTGAGTGAAATACTGAAATATGAGAACATATTCCTTAAGCTAGAATTATTAAACACTGCACAGTAGTGAATATAGTATTTCCTGTTTCCAGGAGGGATACCCGATGCGGCCCAAGGGACTTAACTACATCAACACCCCCGCTGCCTTCGACACTGTGTTTAATATCTTCAAAACTTTCATGAAAGAGAAGATGAAGAGGAGGGTAAGTCAACCAAGACTACAGTATATATAATACATGACAAACACCAACAGTAGCAAGACACACAACCACATTAGCTGGACACAATAGTACAGAGGGTCCTCTATGAGTGGTTAATAGGAACCAGAAAAAGCCACTGATAATGAAACCACTTATAAAGGGGAATTAATTCCCATAAGAATTAATAGGAATAGGGTCTAATCGGGACCATCACATTGTAATTCTATTTTTTATTTTTTACGGGGAATAGCCCACCCGAGCACAGGTCATCGACCCACAACGGGGCCTGGGGGCGAAAAAATAGGAATACTGTATAAAGAAATTAAAAATAGAAAAGAAAAAGATTATGTTAATCTACACCACGAAGATGACGGAAAACCAGCTTTTTGAAGGGAGACAGATTGTATGAGTATGGAAACACAGAAGAAGGCAGAGCATTCCACAGTTTGGCTGTGTGAGGAAAGAAGGATGTACTATAACGGGTTATTATAGTGTGACCGACATCCACACAAACGGTGGGCACCGCGAGCCAGACGAGTGTTACGAGCCCACGGTCTTGCCGGTGGTACACAGGATGCCAAATCCACCGAAAATTGCCCGTACAAGTACTTGTAAAAGAGAGAGTGAAGCAACATTGCGGTGATAAGAAAGGGAAGAAAGATTATCAACTAAAGGAGGAGAGTTAATAAGACTCAAAGTTTAATTTGGTGTCTTTTAACTGGAATATATATACATTACATTAGAAACATTTTTAAACATTTGATTACACATTATTTTTTTAAATTATTTAACTTTACAACTTATTTAAAGTACTTAAAGTTCATTTGGGGTCAGTGTGTTGATGCAGCACAAGCTACCAAACCACACACACTCACTCATTTCAGTGTAAGTAGTTCACTGAGACACACACACCACTTTTCTCACAACATGTAACTTCTAATTTCATATCCATCCCATAGCTACTACGCTTCCTTTAACCACTACATCACCTTGCTTCAGTTTGGAACTGATGGGTTCAAAAATAATCCACCAATGTCACCAAAGATACAACAAAGTTGATAACTATAGTTCTTGGAGCAGTGGACACAGGCGACTGGTACTGAGCATGCATAGCACGAGAGAATGATGACCTTTAAGAGAGTGGGAGGCGGGCAGGAATTTCAATCGCTTGTGCTCCCAAAGATTGACAGATTTCAGCCTTTGAATCCTCTTAACTGCGGGGACTTTTTACGTGGAGATCCACAATTTTTTCACCACTTAAGTGCGAAACCACTTATAATGAAGACACTTATAGTGAGAACCCCAGTAGTAGCTGGACACAACAGTAGTAGCTGGACACAACAGTAGTAGCTGGACACAACAGTAGTAGCTGGACACAACAGTAGTAGCTGGACACAACAGGAGTAGCTGGACACAACAGTAGTAGCTGGACACAACAGTAGTAGCTGGACACAACAGTAGTAGCTGGACACAACAGTAGTAGCTGGACACAACAGTAGTAGCTGGACACAACAGTAGTAGCTGGACACAACAGTAGTAGCTGGACACAACAGTAGTAGCTGGACACAACAGTAGTAGCTGGACACAACAGTAGTAGCTGGACACAACAGTAGTAGCTGGACACAACAGTAGTAGACACAGACACAACAGGAGTAGCTGGACACAACAGTAGTAGCTGGACACAACAGTAGTAGCTGGACACAACAGTAGTAGCTGGACACAACAGTAGTAGCTGGACACAACAGTAGTAGCTGGACACAACAGTAGTAGCCTGAGAAAGTAGAGGTAGTTGTATGTAGTGCCAGTACGCTGCCTCCATGTGTACTAAAGCCTTGACGTTCAGTGTGTTGTATTGGCACTTCCCCTAACTGGCCATCAGGTCTCAGATGCCCATTTTCATACTCCAGTGAAGATTCTGTTCTCTGTCCTTCCCTGCTACTCCAATACTCTAATTCTCCTTTGGTGATCAACATTGTCTTAGTTGGGTTTATGTGCACATTATATGTGACTTCTGCAAATTTAAAATGAAATGGAAGTACTTTACAATATTCCTCCTGTATTTTTTTCTAAATCAGTGTAGGTCTCTGTGACCACTAAACAAGATGACTGATACTTAAAAACACTAAATGTAATTCAGGAGGAAATGGTAAGTGTCAAATGATGGTTAGGTTTCTATGATTAAGTCATTCATATTACCAGTATTGTACATGAAAATATTAATAGTAAGGACACATGGTGTATGTGGGAGCTGGTAATGAAACTGGTGGTGTTGGCAGACCCACTTCCATGGCAGCGACTTAGACAGTCTGCATAAAGAAGTACCCAAAGAGGTCCTACCAGTTGAGTACGGTGGCACCAATGGGACCATCGAAGATATTAAGAGTAAGTCTTAAAAAAATTCTTATAAATCTGATAAACAAAGTAAAAAAAATGGATTAGGTTCAATTTTATTACACACTAATATTAACCTAACTGTAAAATTTGATGCTCTGTCAACCTAAGAAGTTTTGTTTTTATATTATGGGTTATTAAGCTAAGTTTGGTATCACTAATTTACAATTTTTACTAAATAGTTATAAGGAAATGCATTTTTTTTAAAATATAAAGCATTTCCAACCATCACCACCATCAACAACACACCACCACCAACACACCACCAGCAACACACCATCAGCAGTACACTATCACACCACAGACAACACACCACCAGCAACACACCATCAACAGTACACTATCATGCCAGCTCATTACCGACTGTATTGTACAGTGCTGTACAGCACACCATAATCTACACACCATCTGTAATACACTATCAGTATCACTAGACCAACAACACCCTATTAACACAAGTTGCAGAACACAGGCAAATACAATACTGTTGTGTCGGCAGAATATTGGCTGCAGCGGGTGGATGCTCGGCGGGACTGGCTCATCGAGGATGAGCAATATGGTGTGGACGAATCTAAGCGGCCTGGAAAAGCCAAGACCTCAGCTGACCTTTTTGGTATTGAGGGATCCTTCAGGAAACTCAATGTTGACTAAACTTCCAGTCATTCTGTTTTACACGATCTTGGTAGAGAGAAGAGGTTATACATGTGATAACTTGCGACAAAGATTTTTCAGAAGAATGAAGATGGAGTGAAGACATATTTAAAGATAAATATTTTAGCCACTTTATTACTCAGTTTAGTTTAAACATTAATGAATACAGTCAATTTGTTTACACAAACATAAACAGCAGTTATAGGTAAGACAAGAGAGGACATCATAACAATATATGGCACTCATATTGTCTAAAGCCCTAGACAGTACACTGTACTGTATTGCTCATAAATGAGATCAGCTTGAAGAAAAAAATATATATATACAGCATTGCAGATGATTATAAAATAAACAATCCTAGGATGTTAGGATTGTATTATTATAGTGAACTTATACAGTACTGTATAAAGTACAGTACTTAACTAGTTAATTAATTTGATATTTAAAGGAGATTAAAGAATACTGTAGCTTAATTTAGACTATGATTACCCCATGCACCTTTGTTATTCAATTTATGAAATTGTACAAAAAAAATTTTTTTTTAAGAAAAGCAGAAAATCAAGCTATCAAAAATGTATCATTTATCACCGTTTATGACACTTTTCCTTATTCTTGTATCAAAATACCTTAGTACCTGTACTACTATGGTAACTTTATGCAACTGCAATATAAAGATTTACTCACAGACACACCTATCTATTAAATACCTGTACTGTAATGAGTTTATTTCAACTATTAACATGATACACTACTTCAGTGCAGAACTTCAGAATAACAGAAAAACACCAAAAGTCAACATAAACAAGTACAAAGAAAAGTTATTAGGGTTGCAAAATGAGTAGAAATTTTTTCAAGAATCACAAGGACATGTAATTATCCATTAGCAAAATCGATAATGATAATTCATAATTTGGGAGCCACATCCTTGTTCTCCATGTTCAACACCACATCTGTTAAAGGAGTCATGAAGGAAATAAAAATTTTGAACATTTTCAGCTTGATTTTTTTTCTTTTAACAAAACACTTTTCTCTTTGAATTGAAAGGTTACTTGTATAATAAATTCAGTAGCTTCAGCACTCAATAAAATGTGAAACAAAGCATTAAAAACACACTTATATCTAGTAACTAGTTACAGAAAACACATTAAATTATTTAACCCCTTCACTACGGGGGACGCCACTTTCAATATTTTATGTAGCTAAAGTCGGATGATTTTATTCAGCTCAGAGGGAACCCCGTGTACAAGGGATTAAAGAGCCAATAAGAGCGTAAGATTGGGGAAACTGCAGCGGGCCTATTGACCCATACTATGCAGCCCTGTTTACACCCAACCGCTATCGCTTATACTGTTGTAGTGGACGTCTCCCCTACAAACTGCGTAGCGGCGTCACCACCTGCTACCGTCTTCCCTAGCAACCAAGCGTATCCGCATTCCAATGCCGCCGTATCCTAGCAACCGAGCCAAAAGACCGGCGACTTCTCGGGTTTTCCCAACATGACTCATAGCGGCTGCTGGGTATATAAGCTCTGTCTCTCCATTGAGAATTCATTCTGACCATTCTTCCTGAACAAGCAACACCTCCTCCTCAGCCGCTGCCTGGCAGCCCTCGCATCTCCTCGCCTGCCTGGCGGTCCTCGCTCCCGCCAGCGAGCATGGCGACCCACCAGCTGTCCTCTGAGCTTCCTCACCAACCAACTCTCATTCTGTCCATTTTCCTGAACAAGCAACACCTCCTCCAGCAAGCTCCTAGCTGTTAACATTTATTCAACCAGGAGGCCAGCAACAGGCAACATCTTCTCTAACGAAGCTCCTGCACATCTACCTCCTTCAACACGCTACTCACCGAACGTCTTCTACTGAGCAGCTCCCCACCACACGGCATCTCCAGCACCAGACTGTCTTCATATAACTTATATATTATACAAGAAAACCACATTAGAGTTTCCTTCCATCCTGAGTGCTAGACGACATTAATATCTCGATACCCCTACACTGTACTGTATATCTGTCCAACCTATATTTGAAGCTACCCAGCGTGTATTAGAGTTAATGATGAAGTTCGGTAACTTGCTCCACTCATCCACTACTCTATTTACAAACCAATGTTTACCTATCTTCCGCCTAAATCTAAATTTGCCTAATTTAAAACCATTGCTAAGAGTTTGCTCTTGGTTGGATAGTTTGAGTACCTTTGTTTAACCCTGACTTCCATTTATACACCTCAATCATATCGCCCCTCACTCTGTCTCTCGAGGGAGTGCAAATTAAGATGCTTTAACCTGTCTCTGTAATCAAGGTTCCTAATGCCCAGGATTAGTCTTGTCATCCTCCTCAGAATGCTTTCTAGGGATTCTATATCCATTCTGTAGTACGGTGACCAAAATTTAACAGCGTAATCCAAGTGAGGTCTCACAAGCGCAAGGTATAGTTTTAGGATGACCTCGCTAGTCTTGTAACTAACACTCCTTTGTATGAACCCAAGTACTTTGTTAGCCTTGTTTTGAGCAAATACACATTGTTGACTTGGCTTAAGATTCCTACTTATCATTACTCCACTGAGGGGTAAATTTCTTTATCAGAAGAAATTAAGTGTGCTAGCCCGGTGGGTGGCACTAGTCATAGCGGCCTAGAAGCAAGCAGCAAGCCTTCGGGACTTTTAAAGGGACCTTGACCTCAAGCCCTGCTACCAAGACACGGATTAAAAGAAATTACCATTGTATTAATAAAGATCAATATTAGTAGTATTAAGATGACGATTAGAAGTTCATCACATGGTAAACTGGTGGGCTTAAGGCTGAGTAGATCTGTACAGTCTGCACACCCCACCCCTCTCTCCTAAACAGCAACAACCATGAGGTGTAGGGATTTGGGGGCTGAAGCGGCACCAAGAAGTTTGTTGTATTGCGTTACAGAATGCGGTAAAGCATGTAGGCTGTTGCTGGTATTGCCCTGACTGTATAGCCAAAGTAAAAGAGGCGAGTGCAAGCTATAGGGGAGCGAGTTTCCGAGGGACAAAAATAGATGAAGCTGGATACTTGCTGGTTGCCAAACTATAACAAGTTGGGAAAGAGATCCTTGCTAAGACTGAGGAAGTAGCAGGTAGAATGGAGGTGGAAGTGAAGAGAGTTATGCTCAGGCCTTAACGGGGCCATGGGAGGGGGCAGAGAGTAATGCAGGACCCAAACAAGTTCTACAGCAGCTAGGGACTCTGAAGAAGGGTGTTGAAGAGATGGCAACTAGCAGACCTACTGTTAGGGGAGAGGAGGAACAACAGGAACAATGTAATAGTTTATGGAGTCCCCGAGAGCCATTCGGAGAAAGCGGAGAGTAGGAAAACACACAATAAGTTGCAGTTTGAGAATATTTGTACAGAGGTTCTGAATATGCCATCCCCCCCCCCCCCTCAGTATGTGAGGAAGCTGGGACAAAAGCAGGAAGACAAGCATCGCCCCCTCAGGATCACACTAGTGAGTGAGGAAAAGAAATGGGAGTTATTCAGCAGGCAAAAAAACTTGGCAAGGAGCAAGGCATTTTGGAATGTATTCATTCACCCACATTGCACGGTAATGCAGAGGGTACAGCACAAGAAGCTCCTGCAGGGCTTGAAGCAGAGGAGGAATGGGGACGGGTGTACATGGGTTATATCCATGGGGAGGGTAGTGGAAGCAAGAGCGCCAGCACAGAGCCAGGGGGCAGCGGTACACCCTCCACCCACTCTACCTCCCACCCAGGAGGAGGCGAGCGCCGTGTAAACAATGACATTTCTAACCACACCCTGCAAAATACAGTGTATTTAACAAATGCTGCAGCTGCTGAGAATGGAGGTGGGCCGGGGTTACTACCAACAGCAGAGACGTTACCGAGAACAAATTCCGGCTTGAATGTCATGTACACTAATACTGACACGTTCCTTGATAAGAGAGAGGTGTTTGAAACACTACTGAAGGTACACCAACCAGATATTGTAGGAGTTTTAGAACTGTTCTACAAGAACAGGAGACTCAACCCAGAGGAATGCGAGTTCAGTATTGACGAATATGGCTTATTTACGAACCTTTCAAGAAACTAGCAAGAGGGGTGTGGTTATCTATGCTAGGCAAGACCTTAGAGCCAGTCAGGTGAGGGTACAGGGAGAGGGGTCAACGGTGGGGTTTGGTGGTAAGGGCTCACTGACCGAGGGTCCGCTCACACTTGCAAACCTGCAGTATCCTTTCATATCTGGCTGCTCCAAGAGCTCCAGTCGGAACCATCAAACGGGCCACCTACAGGCAAAGGCCCGTATCGACTACGGTCCGACAATCTCAACAACAACAACAACCGAGATTCTCATTCTACTACAAGCTCTCAATCCGACAAGACCTCCTCTCAACAAGCTCCTCTACAACACAACAACTCCCCAACATCTTACTGCACTGTACATACAATATACTGTACGCAAAGAAAACGCCATTGTGAGTTTTCTTTCTTGCCTCCATCCTGGGTGCGAGATCCCCTTTATGTACGTCTGTATGTTGTCCTAAAGAAAAAGAAAATTGACACATAAGAAAGGGAACTTTGACTACTGCGCCACATACACTACATTACAGCCGCTTGGGCGATCGGTCACGTCTCTGATATGAACTGTTGGCAGATACTAGGCATGCACTGGTTCCTAATTATATCGGAACCTGCTCCAGTGTTGTTCAAGTCTGGCCTTGAATGAGCTCACACTCGGTGCCGTCACAACACTCTGGCAGATTATTCCAAGAGTTCACAATTCTCACTCCGAAAAAAATTTGCCCTCGCAGTTTTCTGGACTTGTGGCTTCTTCAACCTTGAGTTGTGACTCCTTATGAGGCGAGCGTCCACCAGTTCCATCCCCCTGAGATGTTTATACACTTCGATTGGGTCGCCCGTCTGTTGTATAAGCTAGATTGTTGCAGGCGCTCCAATCTCTCTGGGCAACTGAGGTTTCGTAGAGCAGGCAGCAGTCTGGTGGTCCTCCTTTGGACACTCAATCAATTGACAGTCTCTAGCATACCTCGGGGACCAGATGGGGTGACAATACTCCAGATGGGGAAGCACCTCATTCTTGAAGATCATGAGCGACGGACTATCCACATATCTAAACGACCTTCTTATAAGACCTGCTAGTTTCGTTGCTTAATTCACCTTCTCACAATGGCCCGAGAACTTAAGTTCATTGTCGACATACACACCGAGGCCTTTTTCACGTTCGGTCTCAATGCAGTCTCTTCGTCCTGCTGGTACATGTGATACACCCCCTTACTGTTGGTGCGACCCAGATGCATTTTTTTGCTCTTCGTAACATTGAATCTTGGCAGCCATTTCCTCGACCATTCTTGAAGCTTATAGAGATCTTTCCGAAGGTCTCCAAAGTCTGTTTGGTTCTTACTTTCCCTAAATAACTTGACATCGTCCGAAAACATTTGTATGGAGGAGTGTACAGCTACTGACATGTCATTAATGAAACAGACTTACAACGGGCTCAATACACTGCCCTGTGGTACCCCGCTAGTCATAGGTAGACGTGACGATTTCGTTATCACCACACACTGCTTGCGGCCATGCAGAAAATCTCCGATTCACGCTAGGACACTTCCCCGAATCCCGTACCCTCCCAGTTTAATTCTCAGCCTTTCATGTGGGTACATTGTCAAAAGCCTTGGCAAAATCTAACAGAGAATTTGGAGAAACGTACAGTATAGAGCTTTGTTATTTTTCGACATAATTTTCCTATATACCTATAGCTTAGTGTGGAATATCTTATGCATGTTCATTCATTTTAGAGGAAAACAGATTTTGTCGAGACTTAAACCAGTTAATGTCTCATAAAGAAAGATAAGACCAACAACTTAGTTATTTACATAAAACAAAGCAGTGAGAGGCTGGAGTGTGGAGGAGTGACAGAACACTGCAGTTCACAAGATAACGAATCAGACAATCCCGATAACACAATCTGTTGATTACATATAACCAATTTCTCTCGTTGTCGTCCTGTTCCATGTGCTATCGTCTATAATTGATGGCAGTTGCTGGTCGTTCATGAATATATATAAAGGCTTATATATAGTTTAAAGACAATAAAACATCAAAATTAGATAAGCTTAACGTTGTAGGTGTCAGTGAGGTGAGCTAAGGAGCGCATTTCTGGTGCGACGTCCCACACATGACTGGTGAAAGAGAATCGACCTTCCGTTAGTTGGGTAACAACTCTTGGGGCGTTTTGTACCGGTGTCAGCTGGCGACCTCTCTCATCACTCTTACTACAGACTCAGGTATGTTTGGCTGCCTCCACTGCTCTCACCTCCACCATCATATACAATATTACCTGTACTTTGATCAGTCAATTTAGGATATTTGTCAGGTTTCGGTTAGGTTAAGTTGGGTAGGACGAAGGTCAGATTCGTTCGATTTTTTTTAATCGAAACCTGGCTACTGCCATAAATTGACCCTTTGATCGCCTTTCGGCCACCATCTAAGTACCCCACTGTGAACCATAGAACAACCTGTATATTATGTGGAGATAATCAATTGCTCTACTGTGGGTAAATTATGTCCACAGCCCCTGAGATCACAGGTTCATTAGCTTGAGATGTTGTCTAAAGTGTTATGCCAATGAAGTAAATTATATACCTACTGTGTAGTGACTACACTGACTGTTACAATAACTATAGTGATGGTATAATCTAAACAAACATAATTAAGAACTAGTCTGTGTAGAATAGAATAAGGAGCAGAGGTAAGAACGGGCTGGTTATGTGGGGAATGTTTCGGAGTCAGATCAGAAGAAGCGGCCAGAAAACACTAATAATAATAATGCGACATGAAACAGTTTGTCGTGTTCTTGTTAAGCCTGACCATTCAACTTCTCAAATACTTGCACACAAATATAACTACCCCTCCCCCCCCACCAAGTTTATTTTTTTATTTTATTTTTTTTTTTTATTGGGCACTCCCCTACATCCTTGTGTAAGGTGAAGCGCAGAAGCGTTTACAGCGCCCAACAGGGAAGCATGCTAAGTTCATGCTTGCCTTTATGTCTCACGAGTTAAGGGCGTAGAAGCCTGAAGAGTCAAGGGCGTAGAAGCCTGAAGAGTCAAGGGCGTAGAAGCCTGAAGAGTCAAGGGCGTAGAAGCCTGAAGAGTTAGTGGTTTATGTCATCAAGTTATTGGAAGCTCCAACAACTTTCCCTGAATACGAATTCGCAATTTTCGATTTACACCAGGTACCTACTTTACTGCTAGGTGAACAGGGACTAATGGGGGCTAGGAAGTAAGACCAAACAACTTCCACCGGCCCGGGAATCGAACCCGTGACATCTCGCTTGCGAGGCAAGAACGGTACCGAATCTACCACCGATCCCCCCCAAAACTTAATGTTCTTGGTGTGAAAGAAGAAAAATGGATCTCTTTTATTTTTTTTTTTACTTTTATCCTCTTCGCCACTGATCGGCTTGTTAGCCGCTTGGGCGATCGGTCACGTCTCTTTTCATTTATATTATTCACCAAAAGATCGGCTGCTAGCCGCCCGGGCGATCGGTCACGCCTCTGTCACGCACTGTTGGCAAATACTGGGCATGCACCGGCTCCTGAATGTACCTAAACCCACTCCAGTGTTGGTCAAGTCTTGTCTTGAAAGAGCTCACACTCGGTGCCGTCACAACACTCTGGTAGATTGTTCCAAGAGTTTACAACCCTCACTCCGAAAAAGTTTGCCCTCACAGTTTTCTGGACTTGCGGCTTTTTCAATCTTGAGCTGTGACCCCTTGTGGGGCGAGCGTCCGCCAGCTCCAAGTAAGGACACTCAACTGAGTAGTGCCCCCTGAGATGCTTATACACCTCAACTAGGTCCCCCCTTGCCCGTCTGTAGTATAAGCTAGGCAAGTTCAGGCGCTCCAAATCTCAGGGTAGCTGAGGTGCCGAAGTGCAGGCACCAGTGTGGTGGCCCTCCTTTGAACATTTACAACCAACTGACAATCCCTAGCATATCTCGGGGACCAGATAGGGTGACAGTACTCCAGATGGGGAAGCACTTCACTCCTGAAGACCGTCACGAGGGACGGACCGTCTAGATATCTGAACGACCTTCTTATAAGACCCAATAATTTATTTGCCTGATTTACCTTCTTCTCACAATGGCCCGAGAACTTCAGCTCATTGTCAACATACACACCTAGGTCCTTCTCACACACAGTCTCAACTAGTGCATTTTCTTCATCCCGTTGGGACATATGATGCGCCTCCTTACCGTTGGTACGCCCCAGGTGTATCCTCTTACACTTCGTGACATTGAATCTCAGCAGCCATTTCTTTGACCATTCCTGGAGCCCACAGAGGTCCTTCTGCAGCTCTTCACAGTCCGCTTGGTTCTTAATTTCCCGAAATAACTTGCCATCATCGGCAAACATTTGTATGGAGGAGTGTACAACGTCAGGCATGTCATTTATGAAACAAACAAACAACAGCGGGTCCAATACACTGCCCTGTGGTACCCCGCTTGTGACGGGTACGGATGATGATTTTGTGCCATTAATCACCACACACTGCTTGCGGTCATGTAGAAAGTGTTCTATCCACGCTAGGACATTTCCCTGAATTCCGTACCCTTCCAGTTTGATTTTCAGCCTTTCGTGGGGTACACTGTCAAAAGCCTTGGCAAAATCTAGGTAAATATTGTCAATATTACCACCCCGTTCCAAAATATGGGTCCAAATATCCAATACCTTGAGCAATTGTGTTATCAGGAGCGTCCCGGCATAAAACCGTGTTGGCAATCCTTTAAAAGGTTGTTTCGTAGTAGATGTTCCATTGCGGCATCTCTGATAATACTCTCAAATACTTTACATATTATGCTGGTCAGGCTCACCGGTCTATAGTTGTTCTTGGAGTGACGATCGCCCTTCTTGAAGATAGGACTCGCATAAGCCACTTTCCATTCAATGGGGACCATTTGTTCATCCAGGCATTTACAAAATAGGATCTTCAGGGGCTCGGCAAGCTCGTTGCACAACTCTCTTTGCACTCTAGGATGCCTCCTACTCGTCCCCCTGTTCCTCCTCCACCTCATCTTCCTGCTCCGACTCCTGCTTCTCCTGATCCTGTTCCTCCAACTATAGTTCCTGCTCTTCCTACGGCTCCTCCTCCTCCTCCTCCTCCTCCAGTTCGTCGTTCCTCCTGTTCCTCGCTGTTCCTGTCGCTCCCCCACCTCCTGTTCCTGCTACTCTTATTCCTCTTTCTTTGCCTTCTGCTAGAGAACGCAGTTAGCTTTATATATTACTTGTCCAGGTTATTACTTCATTACGTGTTGGCATTCTCAAAAGTTCAGTCATAAGGTTAACTTACTGTACTTCTACATATTACCTTCCATTTACCTGTGGTAATCACTGATGAAATCAATATTAGTGGTACACTGGAAGTAGCATGAATAGATGTTTATGGGTTAAGTTTTCAGACCCAACTGATCTTTTCTCTATTTATTAAGAAAATAAACTATTGCACAACAACTAGGATATCACCGTAATTAATGATATGAGCCGTAAGTATTAATACAGGATAAAGCGGCTGTACAACGAACTTCGTGAACACACGTTTGCCGTGGGTGAGAGACAGGCTAGAAACCAGGTACTTAAATGCTGACCCACGTATTCAAGGTGCAATCAGTGGAATAACACTGTCACATGTACGTACAATTATGACTACTCACTGATCATAGTCTAGTTACCGTGGGTGATGTAATTATAAAAACAATGTATATAGCCCATATTTATATAAGTATTGCTGCACGTTTGACAGGGGCTTATACTTACACCTCATCATCTGGTATTGAGTTATTGGAGTAAATCATATACCCACACACCTCTACGGACACCCAAACACCTCTACGGACACCCAAACGCCTCTACGAACATTGTTATGAGACCTTTGTAGAGTGAATGCCCAGTTGTTAATTCTAACTTCTTTCTCAATTGTATTACCGTCAGGTTGAGTAACAACGATAGCACTTCCAGCCCTCCCACAGGCGGTGTTAAGAGATCCATCAGTGTAGATGGTCTGTGTGATATCAGTCTGTAGAGTGTGTATGTGTTCAAGAGCTCTCACTTTGGCAGTGTGTTGGAGATATATTCTTTGTATAGGCGAATATGTCGGTATTGTGATATCGAAGGGAACTGTCCGTAAGGGTGGAAGGAAGTGCTGAATTAGTTGCCATATTCACAGCTATTCAATTTATTGAACCACTGTCACTGACAGTCTCATCATCAGTGATTCTCTATCCTCACTACTTGCCCTTGACACCCTCAACTCAAGTTGTCACGCGCTTGTCTCTGAAGCCAGACACAAATATGCGTACAGTACCTTGTTGACCGGGGTGTCAAGATCAAACTGTTGTGGATTTCCTCTCACATAGGCCTCAAAGAACATGACTGTTGATGCCCTCGCCAAACCCGCGTCTAGCAAAGGCACTGTTGAATACAATCTGGGTCTGTCAAAAAGAACCATTAAAACTGTAATTAGGAAGGAACTTGTAGGGGTATCGAGATATTAATGTTGTCTCGCACTCAGGATGGAAGGAAACTCTAATGTGGTTTTCTTGTATAATATAAGTTATATGATAGACAGTCTGGTGCTGGAAGAGGTGTTGCTTGTTCAGGAATATGGGCAGAATGAGAGTTGGTTGGTGAGGAAGCTCAGAGAAGGACAGCTGGTGGGTCGCCATGCTCGCTGGCGGGAGCGAGGACCGCCAGGCAGGCGAGGAGAAGCGAAGGCAGCCAGGCAGCGGCGGAGGAGGAGGTGTTGCTTGTTCAAGAAGAATGGTCTGAATGAATCTCAATGGAGAGACAGAGCTTATATACCCCGCAGCAGCCGCCAGTCCTCTATGAATCATGTTGGGAAAACCCAGAAAGTTGCCGGTGACTAGTTTCGTTGCTAAGCAACGGTAACATCTGGGGACAGCTCTCGCTTGGTTGCTAGGCAACAGCACGTTGGAATGTGGTGGCAGGTGGTGGCTGTGGCTATGCAGTTGTAAGCAGTTGTAGGGGAGACGTCCACTACAAACTTATTGATGAATTTGACGCAAGTAGACAAGTGCAAACAGGCACTAGTCAATCCATTGTTTACCATGTTGAGATGTATCACGTGAAATATGTATATGGAGCAAGTAACAAGATCACTAGATTGCAAGATGTTGTAACCGCTAGACTAAGGTTAGGATACAAGTACCTCTGGCAGTATATCCCTCAAGCAGCTGTGAACAAGACAAAATGTAAGGTGTGTGGCCAGACATATGACCACACACTCGAACACTACGTCCTCGACTGTGTGAAGATAAAACTTTTAAGGGACAGGTCCAAGCACACCGTGTGTGAAATGGCACAACACTTCATCTCTAATGGCAAGATAGCCGATATATTAAGATTGTATCCACTTTTTTTTTGCACTAGTAGTTACATCAGTTATTGTATAGAACCAAACAAAGAATTTATTTAAAATATTGTGTAACATTCAATGCTATAATATCCTGACCACGGGGTTAGTTATACAGACCGTTTGTGAACTCTACTCAGGAATCCTTTTGTGCTACCGTTCACAGGATGAATATAGGGTGTACAATACACTAGCCGCTGTAAGTGGCAAAAATAAATTAAATTAAAAATTAATTATGGGACATACTTGTCTAGGGGTCATTATAATGTTCCACAACATGAGAACACAGGGGAAGATAAGTGGGGAACGGGAATATTCATAATCCACTAGAAACTACTATAATATATTAAGTATTAAACATATTTACACTACATACACAGTAAAGTGAAAATGAATTCACATCAACTATAACTGAGTAACAACACCAGGAACAAAAAGACAAGAACCTCCAATCTTACAATTAGCACATGGAATAAGGTTACCTATCACAATATACATTATAATTATGATCCTAATCCATAAACACAAAGTAAACTTAGCTGTGAGGTGACCACTCAGTAGCACAAACACAAAACCCTCAGAGTCACCGCCCACCGGGAACTCGTACACAGCGCAAGTCAGAGCCACTCAGAACAGCACGTCAAGAAGCCAGGGTAGGGAGTGAGTGACTGCTACAGGTAGACCTACCAACTAGCCTCACAGAGTTGCCAGGTTGTTTGTTACTCACAACAAGGATGTAAACATTAACACAAATAATACATAATTTACAATATAATATACTATATAACCTACAACAATACATATCACAATCAAATATAATGCAAACATAACATAACGAGCTGACTACCTAGTTCCCATCACAATATAAACACCTGTACAACACCCACACATCTCTACAACACCCACACACATCTCTGCAACACCCACACACGTCTACAACACCCACACATCTCTACAACACCCACAGATCTCTACAACACCCACACACATCTCTACAACACCCACACACGTCTACAACACCCTCACACCTCTACAACACCCACACACATCTCTACAACACCCACAGATCTCACAACACCCACACATCTCTACAACACCCACACATCTCTACAACACCAACACACATCTCTACAACACCCACACATCTCTACAACACCCACACATCTCTACAACACCCACACACGTCTACAACACCCACACATCTCTACAACACCCACACACGTCTACAACACCCACAACAACACCCACACATCTCTACAACACCCACACATCTCTACAACACCCACACACGTCTACAACACCCACACATCTCTACAACACCCACACACGTCTACAACACCCACACATCTCTACAACACCCACACACGTCTACAACACCCACACACGTCTACAACACCCACACATCTCTACAACACCCACACACATCTCTACAACACCCACACATCTCTACAGACGCCCACACACGTCTACAGGCAGGTACTACAGTTTGTGTTGGCAGGTACTACAGTTTGTGTCGGCGAGTGTGAGAGTCAAGATGGTGGGCGAATATGTATGCACACTGAGCGAGGAGCTGCAGAAGCGGGCGAAAGAGGAGATCAACGAGGACCCAGAACGGCGAGCTGAGGACATCCAGCACATCAGGGACTGGTTGAAACACCAACCGCACATCAAGGCCAGGACAGGTGAGTCTGTGGCTGTCTTAATAGGATACACACTACTGCTACTACTTTGCTGTCACTTGGAATCGAGTATGACGATCATCCAGCTATGATACAGTTATATGATTTATTAATGATGTGACCTTCGCTGGTGAGCCCTGAGATGACTCGAGAGGCCGATACGGGACCGGCAAGGCCGTCTGCAAATGTTGCATATGTGGAGGGCTACATCTAGTGTGGTTGGGGTGGTGGCAGCGTCTTTTCAGTGCTGGCACATGGCTGCACCCATCTGACTTGGGGACCAGGACCACACCCTTTCCGGTATGAAGAAATCTGACCACGCCCTGGCTGAGGCTCATCTCTCGGTAACACGTTGTCCCAAGCACAGTGGGCCATGTGGTAGGAAGGCTGACGTAATCACATAGGAAAATCCTCACAGAAAAAAAAGGCATGGCCCATAGATAATAAAAATACACATATAAATATAAAGCAAGTTCCTGTGGCAGGTGGTGTTCAGGATCTCCTGTAGGCTGCATTCAGTGTGAGCGACAAGACTGAGATCGTCTGCATACTGAATGAAGCTCAGTGAAAAGCGGCTGTCACCCTTGTTCCTGCATGGGGTCTTCTTAAGTTGAAAAGTCCCTCCATCTGGCTTCAGCCGGCTAAATTGGTACTGGTATGACTAAGGAAGGAAGCTAAGAAAATGGAGAAGAGTTATTGCTAGTTTACACCCTTGTTTTACCCCCGTTTAGATGGGGAAGAACTCAGACTGGGTGCCATTGCCGTTCATGCCATCGTGGAGTTCCTTCACAATGGCGATGACTTTTGGTGTACTGGCTGGGATACGCCTATCGGTAGCGTTTCCTTTATACCTGTAGACTGTAGTTACTGATATACGTATGCGAGTATGTTATTCTACTGGCTTGAATAGATTTGGTCTGACAAAACTCACTATAATTGTCACTAATATAATTTATAATTATGTTTTTTTTATAATTGAATTGAGATTTAACTTATCCAACACATTTGCAATAATATATTTTTAATATAGGAATAGAGATGGTGAGCTCTCATGTTGTGTAAAATATCTACTGTTATGAAATAAATAACATGTGACATATTTTGTACAATGAATATGTAAATAAGTGTTGATTCCTGCCAATAGATGACTGGACCATACTGAGGTTCCTGCGAGGATGTAAGTTCTCACTACAGCGCACTAAGGAGAAGACTGAAATGTTCTACACGTGCAAGTCCCTGTGCCCTGAATGGTATAAAAACCGCGACCCACAGGACAAGAAAATGCGTGCCATCCTCGAACTTGGGTAAGCTTACAATATCTCTCTTGTACAGTTTTCATTTTGACCTTACAGTATATAATTCATGCCGATAATTTAATCACTCCATAAAGAAAAGTTCACCATTTATGATTATATAAATGAAACTTAAACACATTAAAATTCATAAAGTAATTACACAAATATATATGATATTTGAAATAGTAAATTATCATAAATTAATATAGTGTACCGAGTGTACTGTATACTGTACATTAGTGTCTTGAGATGTACAAACATTGTATTATATTATTTAATTATTTATTATTTAAACTCTTAATTCTTTACTATGAAAAGAATAAAACCTTTTATTCAAGATTTGTTTCACAATTTGAACACATTAGGGTTTCATTCTTTAGCAATGATAACAAGAAGCTGTACAGTAATTATTAATATTGCAAGAATATATATATATATATATATATATATATATATATATATATATATATATATATATATATATATATATATATATATATATATATATATATATATAATGATGTGGGTGCTTATTTAGGAGTCCTATGTAACATGAGTGTAATGTGTTTGTTGTTGTTGTTGTTTTATGAAGTCCCAACATCATAGCAGGTACAGTACTGTATATACTTTAACCAAACTATTATTCTGGATCTTAGACAATGAGAAGAAGTTTGTGATTTTCATGTTTGGTTTAGTTTGCATTCCTTTCTTATATGTGTTTTCTGTTAACCCGCAAAGGGGCGTTATACTTGGATTAATTTAATTCGATTAAGGCTTTTTTTTAAAGTTTCGTCTGATATTGTCTGCATTTATGTCATAAGAACACACGAAGTCTGTAATAGGCCGGTTGACCTGTGCATGGCAGCTCCTGTCGAGAGTTACTACCACTCTCTATCATCCATGAATCTATCTAGCCTCCTTTTAAAACTTTCCAGCGTTCCAGCACTTACTACAAAGTTGCTAAGCTAGTTCCACTCGTCCACCACCCTATTTGTGAACCAGTTCCTTCCTATCTCCCTCCTAAACCTAAACTTATCCAACTTAAATCCGTTGCTACGAGTCCTATCCTGCTCGGATATTATAAGAACTTTATCTATATCTCCTTTATTGATTCCTTTCACCCACTTAAATACTTCTATCATATCTCCCCGCACTCTTCGTCTTTCTAGGGAATGCAAGTTTAGTTTCTTTAATCTATCTTGATATGGAAGGTTTCTAAGTCCCGGAATGGTGTTGAGGTATTGTTGTCTCTGTGTTGTAGTGGTGTCGTCGTCATGGAACCTTTGTCAGTGTCTTGATTAGAATATTTACATGGCTGTGATTTTGTAGAGTAGTGGGAGCTTTGTGGTGTAGGAGTAAGGGAGTGCAGGAAAGCGAGGACTTATGGGTGAGATGGTGCTATCCCCAGTATGTTCCTGCCACTTCCTGGTTATGATAACCAAGGTCGGAAGGTGGTCATCATCCGCACAGCCAAACATGACCCCAAGGTCACCTCCATGGACGAAGTGTTCAAGGCCACACAGTTCATCCATGACATCCTCTGGCTGGAAGATGAACAGATGTCGATCACAGGTGTAGTGCAGATGATGGACATGGAGAATATCACCGCAGCTCATGTTTTGCAGATGTCCCCAGCCCTTCTCAAGAAGGCCATAACCATATGGCAGGTGTGAACTAACTACAATTTTAACTAGTGTACAAAAACAATTGAAATTCGTTAAAACTGTATAACTTATTTCCTTTGGTGGGGAAGTATAGTGGGAAAATATCTCGTCCTAAGCATAGCTTATAATTGTATTGTACAGTACATGACTGAACTTTATTAAGGTATAAGGTTATTATAAATGTTGTTGTCGGTGAATGTTTCCCTCAGGTCGAATCCATGCAGTTTTAAAATCAATTAACATCATAAAACTATAGTGTAATATATAGCCCAATGATGATAATGAATTTACTGGAAATGTCCGGAACTAGAGTAGATCTTCTGTCACATTAACACTGACCACACAAGGAAACTATGACTAGATTTCAACCATTAAAGTATATGTACAGTACAGCTTATTTCAAGCTGTAGGAACACCAGTAAATTTAGTAGGACAACTGCCAAAGCATAAATTCTCAGTCCGCTCACCTGTGGTATTATTATTTAGTTATCATGGGTGACTGCGCTTTTTCAAGATTTAATGAACCCTAGATAACCAGGGGTACATACCTAGAAGCCCTGTCCCTCATAGCGCTCTTCAATAGTGAGGTCCTCCCCGCTTGGAGTACTGTCGGGGGCCCCGCCTGGTCCCCGAGATGTGCTAGAGACTGCCAGTTGATTGAGAACCTCCAAAAGAGAGCAACTAAAAAAAAAATAGATCGCCCGCAGTTGCCCAGCTTATACTATAGACGGATAATGGCTGATTTAATAAATGTTTATAAGCACCTCAGAGGACAATGCTCAATCAGGGGTTCCGACTTGGAGCTAGCGGATGACCGCCCCACCAGAGGTCACAGCCTCATGTTAAAGAAGCCACAAGTTCAGAAAATTATCTGAGCTAATTTTTGGTGTTAAAGTTGTCAACTCTTGGAATAACCTGCTAGAGTGTTGTAGTGGCACCGAGTGTAAGTTAATTTAAGGCCAGACTTGATCCTCTTGGAACAAGAAAGTGTTGTGACGGCAACTAGTGTGAGCTCTTTCAAGACCAGACTTGACCAACACTGGAGCGGGTTCAGGTACATGCAGGCAGGAGCCGGTGCATGTCCAGTACTTGCCAACAGTGCGTGACAGAGACGTGACCGATCGACCAAGCGGCTAACGAGACGATCATTCCGTGAAGAGGATAAAGAAAAGAAAAGAACACTGGCGCATATTCAGGTACAGTCCCCCTCACTAGTGCATTTACAGGGGGGCGATTGGTTTTGTGCAGTGTGGCAGCCTGTGTTTGTTTCATTCGACAGAAGGAAACTCGCTATAGTAAACACACTTTGGAATCAAAACAAAACAATATTAAAACAAATATCTCAATGTAATTATCAGTGGAAAGTTATATGACAGGCCCCTGTAAACGCACTAGTGCAGGGGACTGTACATTCTAGAGCCCGTATATGGCTAGTACTTGCCAACAGCGCATAACAGAGACGTGACCGACTGCCCGACCAGCTTGAAAGCCGATTAGCGACGAAAAAAAAAATAAGTACGATTTCAGTCACCGTGGGATCAAACAATAAGATATTAGCTCTCTTTAAGCATTTTCTCATTGAGTCACAGTGATTTAAGACTTCAAAACTATGTCACGGGGATTATCAATCATTGTACTGTATCTGTTTACACAATACTTTAGGTTAGTTAACATTCCAAAATACCATATTTAAACGATTTCTCTAAACTTTCATAATAAATGCTGACCCAAGCTTTACTTCTCATTCCCTTTCACATAACACATATTTATGAACATCAAGAAAATTCAGTTTTGTTATTAAATTAATTCGAACTAAATCAGTTGCATTACAGTGGCCCATAATGAATTACTGTACCGGTATGTCTCATCAGATTAACAGACTACAAGAGTACAGGAGAAGAGTAGAAATACAAAAGCTGTGCTCTTCTGTGTGTCCTTTATAGACTTCCACCGCTACCAAACACCACTTGGCCCTAATCAAGATTATTTTTGTCCAAAGATTACTAGTTTGAGTCAGTTTGTTTTAACACTTGTACCTGTGAAGTGTTTGTTAGTGTTCTCTCGGGGCAGTAGTTATCATGTCTCACAATCATCACATTATGTTTGTTTGTTACCATGTGTGTATGTTTTGGTAGATGTATATGTTTTGGTAAATATGTGTTTATTGGTAAATGTGTGTATGTGTTGGTAGGTGTGTGTGTGTGTGTGTGTGTGTATATGTGTTGACAGGTGTGTGTATGTGTGTATGCATGTACTGTACGTGTTGATAGGTGTAGTTCATTATGTGTGTGCAGGCTTGATAATTAATCAGTTGTTTTTTTTTTTTACTTTCAACCACCAAACATTGCCGTTATTGATAATAGATTTGAAACTTAATGCGTCTCAGAGAAAAAAATACAATAGGGAGTGAGTGAAAATAATATTACGCTTCTCATCTGCCTGGCGTGGGATGTACTGTAAAACAAGTGACAAAATAGCCTCAACTGTTTTTAGTCATTGATGGGAAGAAAACATTAGGATGGAAAAAACTTAGCGAAGCACATTTGTTTGTTTTTTAACATACTGGGCAATGTATAGATGCTTCTAACAGGTTCATCAGTGTAGAGAGAAGCTTGTAACAGGTTCAGTGTAGAGAGATGCTTGAAAAAGGTTCATCCGAGTAGAGAAGTGCTTGTAACAGGTTCATCCGTGTAGAGTGAGGCTTGTAACAGGTTCAGTGTAGAGATGCTTGTAACAGGTTCAGTGTAGAGATGCTTGTAACAGGTTCATCCGTGTAGAGAGGTGCTTGTAACAGGTTCAGTGTAGAGAGAGGCTTGTAACAGGTTCAGTGTAGAGATGCTTGTAAAAGGTTCATCCGTGTAGAGAGAGGCTTGTAACAGGTTCATCAGTGTAGAGAGATGCTTGAATTTGTAAATTGTATGCCAAGGGACGACAGGTTGACGAGGAGTCAATTATATCGTACACTTGGACATTATGTGGCTTGGTGCATCGACTTTGTGTACAGTATTGTTTTATGTGTACAAAAATACATAATGCACATATTGTATAGTATGATGTGTTTAACGCATAAAATAGATGTATTGTTTGTTTTTTAGTATTACAGACCGATTTTCCAGTGTTGATGCAAGTCATGTGTGTATAATATTGTGTTTGGAAAGGTTGGGTGTATTGTACTGCGCACCTCATTGTCATTCCTAAAAACCCGTTTTAATTCATATTACGCTACATAATATTCAAATCCACCGCGCTTGTAGAATCTCAGGAGAGACGTGTATTTCCCACCTGTTTTACCCTCAGGATCACTCCCAGTAAGTCCCGCCTTCGAACACAGTTGTCACTACGTTTATTGCACTCTCTACTGGCAAACGCAACCTTGAATTAGTCTGTTTAAATCAACTTCAGCAATTCGCCAGACCTTTGTCAACTGAGGGTCATCTTTGAATGAGTAGCAGTTAGTTTGTTTGTGATTATTGTCATTGCGTGAGTAGCGATCACTGGCAACTCAGGGGTATATAAACTCAAGATGGCCAGGGAGAGCATCCCCTGACGCTGCCCCGTTTGTCTCCAGATCGAGGGTGGGCTTAATTGAAACCCACCGGTCGCTCGGAGCCGGTGGATACCCAGCAGTGGTCAATATAGGAGTGATGGCGCTGATTCGGCATGATTAATCGGCTCTACTCTACCTCGTGGGCCGAGGACCCCAAACCCACCTCGGGTCGGAGTGTAACCGACCACAACAGCAGTTGTTAGAGGCGCCAGTGCTATACCCTGGGACAGGCCTTGGAATTATGGTCCACAGTGTGGTTGTATGTGTTTTTTACCAGTATGTTTTATAAGGAATAAATCAATTAAGACATGTTATGGTTTCACCCTTCTTTACCCTTATCGATCTGGTCAATGAAAAACCTAACCCAATGCCTAGTCCACTCTGCCCCCTACCTAACGAGCTACATGCTGTCCAGAGGGGGTCTGGTGGCAGCGACCCTTAGAAATTAAGATTAGAGTTAAGTTATCCCCTTAGACTTAGTGACCCCAGAATCTGGCAGTATAGTATTGTTACATGTACTGTAGTCTGTGGGGTTCAAGATGTTTGGTTCACACTCAGGATGGAATGGAGAAAGGAAACTCACAATGTGCTCTCTATATACATGTTGTATTGGATGTACAATGCAGCTTGGTGCTGGGAAGGCAGCATGGTTACAAGCGTGATGTAGAGAGAGCTGGTTGGTGAGGACGCTCAGAGAAGGACAGCTTGTGGGTCGCCATGCTCGCCGGCGGGAGAGAGGACCGCCAGGCAGGCGGAGGAAGAGCGAGGGCCGCCAGGCAGCGGCGGAGGAGGAGGTGTTGCTGGCTGCGGCTGTAGGTAGAAAGAGAGTGATCACCACGAGGTCAGGTCTTAAATAGCGGGGGTAGGCGTGGCTTAGCAGTTGACCCCCACTCCGTGATGTATGGCGGCGCTGGTTGACCCAGACCACGAGGGAATTGGTGGGGTCGGCTAGGCAGCGACAAACAGCGTTTGTAGGGGAGAAATCCACTACAAGTCCATAATAAATATTTAGTTGTCTTTGCCTTTTATACAACTGTATTGTTTCCTGTTATTATATAGCTCAGGTCTATTGTTCTCTTATAGTGTACAACGAGTTAGTTCTATTGCACGGTATTGGTTTGTTTATAGAGGTTGTATGCTGTTGAGTGCTTGAAGGGAAGCAATTAAGGGGTGATAGTGAGTGCTACAGAGTGCATATTATGTAGATTTCATATATAATTTGGGAGTGTGGACGAGTTTATACCTTGTATGTGTTGATGAGTGTGGACGCGTTTATACCTTGTATGTGTTGAGGAGTGTGGACGAGTGTATACCTGGTATGTGTTGAGGAGTGTGGACGAGTGTATACCTTGTATGTGTTGAGGAGTGTGGACGAGTGTATACCTTGTATGTGTTGAGGAGTGTGGACGAGTGTATACCTTGTATGTGTTGAGGAGTGTGGACGAGTTTATACCTTGTATGTGTTGAGGAGTGTGGACGAGTTTATACCTTGTGTGTGTTGAGGAGTGTGGACGAGTTTATACCCTGTATGTTTTGGGGAGTGTGGACGAGTTTATACCTTGTATGTGTTGAGGAGTGTGGACGAGTGTATACCTTGTATGTGTTGAGGAGTGTGGACGAGTGTATACCTTGTATGTGTTGAGGAGTGTGGACGAGTTTATACCTTGTATGTGTTGAGGAGTGTGGACGAGTTTATACCTTGTATGTGTTGGGGAGTGTGGACGAGTTTATACCTTGTATGTGTTGAGGAGTGTGGACGAGTTTACCTTGTATGTGTTGGGGAGTGTGGACGAGTTTATACCTTGTATGTGTAGCTATACCGTGTATGTTTTGGGAAATTTGGGAGTGTGCTTTGTATTTGTTGGGAAATGTGTGAGAATGTATACCTTATATGTATCTTATGTATGTGGTAGTGTATGCATCTTAAATTATGTTAGGGACTTAAATCCAATAATCCTGTTGAGAAGGTGTACTGAACTATATTTGTTGTATTACGCGTATCAACATTTGCATGTGTGTGTGTATGTGTATGTGTGTGTGTGTGTGTGTGTAAGGCCGAATCTTTAATTTATTTTCGCAAACTACAAACTCTTGACATTTTAGGTAGAGTATACAGTACGGGTTATCACATATCTTAGGGAATGTGAGAGGGAAGCAGTGCACGGTGTAATCGGACATGTCTGAATGAATGAATAACCAAAGACCATGTGGGTCAGATTGGTCATGCCACTTCCACCAGTGAGCGAGAGTCAGCGCAGGGTGATGTTGGCTCGACCTGGACACCGTGACCCGACCACTACCTCCATGGACGATGTGGCTCGGACAATACTCCTCACCTTGGACTTACTACTGGAGGAAGACGAGACAATAGGGGTGACAGGAATGCTGGTAGTAATGGACACGGGGGAGATAACTTTCCAACACGCGGCACAGATGACGCCAACAATTATGAAGAAGATGGCCACACTTATTCAGGTCCACACTCATGCTAGTCCACACCTGTCCTGGTCCACACTCATGCTGGCTCATAATCATGCTGGTCCACACTCATGATCATCTACACTCATGCTGATCCACTCATGCTGGCTCATAATCATGCTGGTCCACACTCATGATCATCTACACTCATGCTGATCCACTCATGCTGGCTCATAATCATGCTGATCCACACTCATGCTGGCTCAATCATGCTCATCCACACTCATGCTGATCCACACTCATGATCATCTACACTCATGCTGATCCACACTCATACTGGTCCACACTCGTGCTGATCCACACTCATGCTGGTCCACACTCACGCTGGTCCACACTCACGCTGGTCCACACTCACGCTGGTCCACACTCATGCAGGTAATTATTGTGCAGACTGATAAACGCACAGTATATTTAGTAATAATACATTTCCAGTATTATCTAACTGTGTTGAAATATACAGAAATACCCACACGGTACAAAATGTATAGATACTGTACAAAGATTACATGGTGCTGACCCTTCTCCTGGGTAGGGGGTGTCCCGCTGTCCCCTGGTTCTATACTGGCGCTCTTGCCTCCACTACCTTCCCCTTGTATATAACCCGTGTAAATCCGTCCCCGTTCCTCATCGAATCTTCCCTCTTCTGCTTCAAGCTGTTTTATTTTTTATAAGCCTGTAATGTGTTGTGTTTCATGGATCGGTGGAGTTGAGGAATTTTTTTCACCACACTTTAACAGACCTTTTGTTGTTCCGAAATTTCTGTGGTCTGGCTCTGGTGAGGTTCCAAGAGTGCCGCATTAGAGGGGTTGAACATGTTCACGAGGTTGTTTCTACTACAGTACTTAAGACTCCTACACATCTATAAATCAAGCAGTAGGCTGAAAGCTTCAGCATCAAATTCTTGATTAGCTTAAATGCTGCAAAAATAAGCTCTAGAAAAACTGAACTCATTCCCTTTTAATATTAAAGTTAAGGTCATTGTGGTTGGAATTTACAGAATTGTTAAAAAGCATTCATTAGTCTTTGGGTTTCGTGCCCATTTTGGATTTACGAAAATACAGTACTGTACAATATTATGAATATACGTACTTAAAAACCTTCTTTTATCAGAATTACATCATCAATCAGTTCATAGAATAAGACAAAGTACTGTATTGTAGTGGAATTCTCTCCTACAAACGCTGTTTGTCGCTGCCTAGCCGACCCCACCAATTCCCCAGTGTATGCCTCGTGGTCTAGGTCAACCAGCGCCGCCATACACCACGGAGCGGGGGTCAACTGCTAAGCCACGCCTACCCCCGCTATTTAAGACCTGACCTCGTGGTGATCTCTCTCTTACTACCCACACCAACCAGCCAGCAACACCTCCTCAGCCTGCCTGGCGGTCCTCTCTCCCGCTGGCGAGCATGGCGACCCACAAGCTGTCCTTCTCTGAGCGTCCTCACCAACCAGCTCTCTCTACATCACGCTTGTAACCATGTTGCCTTCCCAGCACCAAGCTGCATTGTACATCCAATACAACATGTATATAGAGAGCACATCGTGAGTTTCCTTTCTCCACCCCATCCTGAGTGAACACCAAACAATCTCGTACCCCACAGTATATAATCAGTATAGTTAGGGAATTAATTCTTCCTCAAGAAAAGTTAAATGGTGAAAGGTTTGAGCTGCTGCCCTGGATGTAAAAAAAAAAAATATATATATATATATATATATATATATATATATATATATATATATATATATATATATATATATATATATATATATATATATATATATATAATATATATATATATATATATATATATATATATATATATATATATATATATATATATATATATATATATATATATATATATATACTATATATATATATATATATATATATATATATATATATATATATATATATATATATATATATATATATATATATATATATATATATATATATATATATATATATATATATATATACAGTTAACCCTCACTTTACGCGGTTAATGTAACCCGGAGGGTACCGCGGAAAGAGAAACGCGTAAAGTGAATAACATAACATATGGGATTAATTGAAATGGAGTCCGGGCCGATCCCCAAACTCCACTTTTTGACGACACATAACTATGTTGTAGTAAAAATTTTATCTTAACTTTATGATGGTATGAAAAAACAAGTAATATAGAAGAGGTTAGGTTAGGAAAAATAAAGGTTAACATAGGAAAAATAAGGGTTAGGTTAGAAAACTAAAACTTAGGTGTAACACTTACGGTAGTAGAAGAGATGGGTCGGCATACGGGGATGGAGGCTGGTTCCGAGGCAGAGGGCAGATTACTGGCCCTCAGGTGAATCACCATCACTGTCACTTACAGTTGTCAGTGCTTCCCTGACAAATCCCTCAAAGTCATCTTCACTACCACTATCACTGGCTTGGGCTGGCTGTGGTGGGTTGCGGGCGAAGAAATCTGTTATGCTTTGCTGAAGGCTGGCGTTGATGTTGTCGTGATACACCTTGATGTACGGCTCCATAGCCTGCACCAGCCGGGTATGGAAGACTTCATAGCGGTCATCGTCATTGTCGCGGGAAAGGAAGGACTTCATTTTCTCTGCACACTCCATGGCACCCTTAATATCACTATGACTTAAACTGTGTTCTTCGGAGAATGACGCACCTTCTTCCTCCTCTTCACTGACGTGTTCTTCCAACATCTCGTCGGCAGTCACTTCAGGATCTCTGATCACTAGCGTAGCTAGGGGGGGGCGGTCCGCCCCGGGCGGCACTTTTGGGTCTGCTCATCACCCATATCTGCAGCTACTGGAGACGTTAATCCATCCCTTTGTATCGGCGGCAAGTTAATCCTTGTCGTGTCTGACCTAACACCTGACCCACATCATCACGGCCACGTCATGAGCTACACCCTTGCTATGCGCCCCCCCCCGCCACACACACAACCTGTAACCTGTTGAGGATTAAGGAAACTTATAAAGTTTAAGTATGTTTGGTGTGTATTTAAAGCATACTATATTTGAGTATGTGAAAGTACAGTAATATTATAATGGTACACAAACTATTTATATATATATATATATATATATATATATATATATATATATATATATATATATATATATATATATATATATATATATATATATATATATATATATACACACAGTTGGTCCTCACATTACGCGGTTAATATCACTATGACTTAAACTGTGTTCTTCGGAGACTGACGCACCTTCTTCCTCCTCTTCACTGACGTGTTCTTCTTCCATCATCTCGTCGGCAGTCACTTCAGGATCTCTGATCACCTCCAGGATGTCGTCGTTGGTGGTCTCGGAGAAGCCTGGAACTGTAACAGTCTGCGCAGCTTCTCTGGCAAGGTCCCCTGCTACTGCAACATTCTGAACCTCACCAGTCACAGATTGACTCCTCCTCTCACCTGGTATTCCATGCAACACATGTCTCCATGCGTGACGAATTGTAGCAATAGACAGCTGATCCCATGACTCCACCAAGAAGTCCACAGCTTTCTTGATGTTAAATACTCTCCAGAATTGTTTGAACAGTATTTTTTGCTGTTCCAACTGTTGATCCTCATCTTCTTCGCTCTTGCTATCGGTGGTGGTGTCACTCAGGTTACGCAACTCTTCCCTGGTGTTGGTGTAGTCGTTCAGGAGCTGGAATTTTTTGTTGAGAATGCAGCTTTTACATTACAGATTAACTCTTGGTCCATGGGCTGTAATATAGACGTAGTGTTGGGAGGAAGGAAGACCACTTTTACGTTGGGGTGACGATCTAACAGTAGGGGCGAGTGTCCTGGTGCGTTGTCCAGCAGCAACAAAATATTGAATGGCACATTCTGTCGCTCACAGAATTTTTTTACATCGGGAACAAAACAGTCATCAAACCAGGAGAGGGACAGTGTAGAGAACATCCACGCCTTACGTGCGGTCAGCCAGTGGACATTTAGCTTGGTCATGTCCATGGTTTTGTAGGCGTGCGGCTTGCGTGCTGTGTGGATCACCGATAACTTGAGCTTACTGGTACCGGAGGCATTGGTGGTAAACAGGACGGTGATGCGTTCCTTCTGCATCTTCCGGCCCCGAATCCTGCTGGCATTCTTTACAACGAAGGACTTGGAAGGTAGCTTTTTCCAGAAAAGACCAGATTCGTCCATGTTAAACACCTGGTCGTCACTGTACTGTCCTTCCTCCATAATCTCACGTAAAAACGGAGGAAATTCCCGAGCCGCAGCACGGTCAGCACTCGCTTCTTCACAACCAATGTTTATATTGGTGATCTTGTTCCGGATCTTAAACCTCTGTAACCACCCAGAGGAAGCATTAAAGGGTTTGGGCTCTGTAATTCCCATCTTTCGTGCCACTGCGATGTACAGTTCACGTGCGTAGTCCTTAACAGAGCGAGTGTCGACCGCCATGTTCCGTCGCGCCTGACGCACCAAGTACCTCACAAGTAATTTTTCTGTCTTGAGAAGCACCTGGTTGTGAAAATACTTGATCATAGAAGCACCTGTAGACTTTGTGATCTTCATGTGCTCCTTTATCTTGGCTGCATCCTTCTTTATAGTCCGGATCGTAGATTCGTTCACACCATGGTGGCGTGCCAAATCAACCTGCCTTGTTCCTTTCTCCAACTCTTGGATGATGGTATACTTCACCTCGTAGCTTAAGGAACGTCATGTCTTCTTTGGCTTAGTGCCGCTGGGTCCAGGTAAGGAAAGGTTTCTCTCTGGGGGTGGTGGTCCGGCGGAAGCCATTTTACGGAACAATGGATGCGCGTTTACACGGAGTGGCCTTGAGGGATGAAACTGCCGCAGCTAGGTCAAGCGTCGTCTTTCCTCCCTCCCTCCCTCCCCCGGGTGGACACGTCATAATACTTTAAGCCAATTACAGCTAGCAGCAGAGGGGGGTAGGGATGCATGGCCAATCACATGTCTGATACGTCATATGACGTCAGTAATAACGCA